GTGTGTAATCATAAAATAGAAGTAATTTACCATATTAACACCGTTAGTTTGGAGAAAACATTGCCATTATGGTCATAGAAGGACAAAACAAACTGCATTCTTAAATAATTTTTTAAGGATGGTGGTTTGATGGATGGCGGAGGGATGGAATTATTATATACAGAATTGAGGGAAAATAACAAATACCACCTTCGACGGGGACGTTTGAAATAACAATTCCACTTCCAGTGACGCTATTCTACAATTGGTTTGTTTCTTTTGTAGTTAAAATTTCAACCAGGAATGTCGTGGGTACAAAATGCTGTAATAAAAACTTTAGGTATGGAAACAAACACTCATTAAGGAATTTGATAGAACGTAGATAGGTGTTGGAATCACTAAAATAATCCTCCGTAACTGGTATCCTGGTTTATGTGTTTTATGATTTCCAAATAGATATTCCGGGTTGATAATCTCCAACTATTTTTTGAAGCAAGAGGAATCTGCTCTGAACGTTGTGAGCTGTTATTACTCCTGTTAACGGACCTTTTAATTATTTAATTATTATCTATTATAAAAATTTAAGGACGGCCAACCTTATCCTCAAAAATAACAACACACCAACTAAGTCAAAATTACAAAGAACAAACATTATATATGAGTTCAATGCCCTTTAGGAACTGCGTTTCCTCACCAAACCGGACTCATAAATAATTACATCGGCTACACAACCACATGTTTATCCAGACGTCTACATTACACCTATCTGATCACAGTTCCATCAGAACACATTTAAACACACACTCAGATTTACCCGACACTATTTAGAAAACTACAAATATATTAACTGCATCCACTTGCAAAAAAGACTAAAAAATAATGGAAGCTCTAATAACAAAAAAAAAAAGCCAACTCTTAACAATATTAATTATGAACAAAGCCATAATGTGCTAACTGTATTCGGAAATTAAAAAACATCACTACCACACACTGAACATACACAGAACACAATACACTGATAATAAGCTGATAATCGAATAATCCTTGATAATGGCTAAAGTTATAGCCGAAAGCGCTCTGAAAAACAAAACATTCGGACAGTTCTTACACACCTTTGTCCAGAAAAAAAAGCTCTTGTCAGAACACAAGAAAAATTAAATAAAAAGCTCAACCCTAGTACCTTGTCTGTCGTTTTAATGAAACATGGCAAAGGAACGATTGCTACCTAAATATACAACTATATATATATATATATATATATATATATATATATATATATATATATATAAAATTTTAGTTATACATTCTTTTATAGATACAAATATTAATAAACAGTATTAGACAACATTTACCAGCCGGTAAATAATTTGTTTAATACTGTTTATTATAAACAGAGCATTTACTTAAATATTTGTATCTAAAAAAAAGAATGTATAAAACATAAATGTCTTAAAATAATTGTCGGACTTTTTATCCATTTATAATATATATATATATATATATATATATATATATATATATATATATATAAAAAAGAAATATGTTGTAGTGGTTCCAACGAGAGAAAAGTATGTATATTAAAAAGAAGAGAAGAGAGGTGCCGCAAACGTTTTGGTTGTAATGTGGATTTATTTAGAAAAAATATTATGCTTTGTTTTACATAATTTTACGACACGTGTTTCTGGTCTCGCGACTATCTTCAGGTAAATTTCCACATATTATTAAAAATAATTAATTTTTCCTTATGTTCAATGTTAAATATTCTCGATATGAGACATTCTCTGTTTGTGTGTTGGTAATCTGAATTTCTTTCTTGAATTGGCAATGAAGAGTTCTGCGCGAAGGGTCATAAAACAATTAAGGTTGGTCCAGCGAGATAATAAATTAGTTATCGGCATTTTTTTATCTTTTTAATGTTTTACTGACCCCCCTATGTGCTCTTGGATCTGTTTCCCATTTTGGTGCGTTTCGTCAGCATGCGTGTATATATGCGTATTTCCTCCATACATATACTGTCTTACTACGAGGAATTCGTAAACTTATTTGTACCATACACGCATACACACACATCACACTATCCCACCACAAGTAAACACACACACACACACACACACACACACACACACATATTTCCCGAGCTACATGGAACCAGTAACACCCACACACACGCACACACACACACACGTACTTCTTAAGTTGTCAACATCCGCATATACATACATAAATGTATGTATACATACATATATATATATATATCCTCGTGTCTCCCGTATATGAGTATGCGTCCATGTATGTGAGTGATTTGATCACTGTATTTGGTCACCCTGTGTGTATGTTGTGTGTTTTTGTGTGTGGGGTTACGATCTATTTAGTTCGGGTTTAAATTTGTCTATAAAGTTTTTTTCCTGTATTTGTAGATACGTGTAATTGTTTGTTTGATATATCGGCATGATATTAAACTTACCCTCGTTACATTTGAAAATGTGTTGCTTTTTGGGGAATATCTTTTAACAGAGATATC